GGTGGACTGCTTCTTAGCACCTCTCCTCACTCTGTTCTCTGTTCTCTGTTCTCTCCCAGCTGCACAGCCTCACACCGGCACCTTGGGTCTCCCGGTGCCCCAGCTTCTGAAGAGCAGGGGCCAATGGGAGCAGGATCTCAGGAGCCACGGACCTTGACTCCAAGGGGAGCTAGGAAACCACTCTGCCCAGTGTTAGGACCCTGGCTTCATCTCCCCAGACAGAAGCGGTCTGGCTTACCATCCTCCCCCAAGGACTCCAGCCCTACCAACAGGCTTCCAAGTGCAGCCTGAGGAAACCACAGCCCACACCCCAGCCCCTCAGAGCCACAGGCACTGAGTGTGGTACCTAAACCCATAGCCCTCGCACACGCTGGCTGAGGTGCTGTGGTTATCAGATGAAGCATGGCAAAGGACCCAGGAAGAGCGTAAGGATATCCAAAACAGTTTTCTTGCACTGGGACATCCAGAAACATTGCCCTCAGCCAGCCCCTCTGTATGAGAAGGTAAGGGGTGACAAGTTCCCCGCCCTGCTCCTCTGCTAGGAAGTCCCGGCAGAGCCTTGGGCACAGTCTCACCACTCTAAGGACTGTTTCTTCATAATGATACCTAATTCAGATAACAGAAAACACCAGGGTCAACAATCTCAGCAGATAGGTCTTATCCCCATTTTGTGGATGAGAAAACAGAGGCCAGTGAGACAATGCTCTGCAGTCTATTTTGTCTGTCACAGGGATACAGGGTTCTGCCAGGCATGTATATTCATCCCAAACAACACAGGGCACAGTGCTATATCAGGCCAGGAAACCTAATATTTACCCAGAGACACACCCCAAACCCCCCCACCCCCTAGTTAGTCTGTGCCATGCCCCTAGGTGCCCTCTCTGCAGTAGAGCTCCTGGCCAGCCAGAGCGGTCACCCCAGCTTCCTCCCTGGTCTGGATTCCTAGGCTGTGTCCCTCTCTGTCCCTCTGTCTCTCCTTTGCTCAGCTTCCTAGCCCTCTCCCTCCCCTTGGCTTCTCTGGCATTGCCCCCAGGCCCCACCTCTGCATACAAGCAAACAACTGGTTGAGAACTGTCACTGCCCCTGAAGCTGGGTTTAAATGGTCTGGGGTGGACTTGAGGATCTGTATTTTTAAGGGCCCTCAGGTTTCTAATGGGCAGCGAGAACTGAGAATCACTGGGTTAGGAGAGGGTGCTGTAAGGGAGGTGTGGGGTGGAGAACCTAGAGCCCACATAGCCTCCTCCCGAAGGCCTGAGGGTCCAGTGTGTTCTCCTTGGAGATCAGGCTAGTGGCCATGCCAGTTGGTGAATCTGGGCCGTGAGCAGCCTGTTGATTCGCAGGCAGCCCTGGCACAGGAGGTGTGTGCCCCGCCAGCATCCCAGGTTACACAGACTATGCCGCTTATCCATAAGCTCAGCAGACTGTCTTCCCAGGTGGGCTTTCCCCAGCCACTCCTCCCCAGCATCCTACCCGGGTCCTGGAATACAGAAGTGATAGGTGCTCAAACAAGAAAACATCAGGAGGTGAACTCTCAGTCTGCCAGGTCCCAAGCAAGTGACCTCTTGATGACCTGTTCCCTTCCCACCTATTCAGAGGACCCGTGCCAGCCCAGCTCTCTAAGGGTGGGCATCATATTTTTACGTGCCCAGATGATTCAAAGGTGCAACCTGGGCTGAGAACCTCCACTCTGGCTATGGAAGAAAAGAAAGTCCCCCAAAACTCTTCCAGGCCTGACACCTCCAGGTATGGCACAGGAGCTATGGGCAGGGCTTAGGGGGAATGACATATATTGCTTTACCTGAAAGGCGTTATGTATTCATTGCAGAAAATTCAGGAAACTCAGAAAAGTACACAGAAAACACCATATGGACACTGGGAGTCTTTCCCAAGGCAGGGGTGAGGCGGGGGTCCCAATAAGAGCCCCAGCTGCCTGACAGCTCCCTGCTTTTACAGTGAGGTGGGGAGCAGAGTAGCTACCCCCACTTCACATCGGAGCAGTGGATCGCTCAAGCCACCGGGAACACCTCACCTGGCGGGAGGAGGGGGTAGGGAGGGTACCGTCCTGGCCCCAGCTGTGTCTAATTGGTGGGGGTGCACGGGGGCTGCGCAGGGCCACGCATTCCCTGCCACGGAGACGCAAGGCATCGGCACCTTCTCGTTCGCAGAGACCTAGGGCTGTTCTCTGGACCGTCCTCGGCCTCGGGCACTCCACACGGCTCATTAGAGTGGTGGCCCCCGCAGGCACAGGACAGGCTCCATCTCCTCGGGCCCTGGCCGTTCCCATGGCGCCCTCGGGGGAGTCGCTCTCGGACCGTGCGCGCCCCGGTTACCGTGTCACTGCTCCTCCGCGGCCTGCAGCCAGGTGGGGGGCGGGAGGGGACCCACGCGGGCCCAAGGCCGCTCTCCTCAAGGGCGTAGGACCGGACGTTTCCAGGCCGTGGGATTCAGGACACTGGTCAGGCAGCCCCGTCCCCGGCCCAGGTCCTGTCCGCGCTCCGGAGGGGCGCCCCCCCCCCCCCCCCCGCCACCTGGGACCCGGTCTCCACGAGAGGCAACATCCTGCACCTGTCTGGGAGGGACTCGGACGAAACCTGGGACACCATGACGCCGAGGTGGGAACCAGAGCGCAGGTAACGTGGGGGCGGGGCCTGCAGGGGCGGGGCCTGAGGCGGGGCTGGCATCCAGCGCCTGCCCCGCCCACCCCAGGCTCTCCGACGCCTTTGTCAACATTGATGCCGAGGGGGCTGGGCCTTCGGAGATAAGCTGGTGGGGGGGTGGGGGGTGGGGGGCGGGGAGGAACAGAGTAGCGCTGAGAACCCTGGGAACCTGCGGGGCGAGGGTGGGGGCGGGGCGCGGCGTCCCGGGGCAGGAAGAGGTCAGTGGTACGAGGGGGTCATGGCCAGGTCGGTGCTGGGTGAGGCAAGCCAGGCTCAGTCCCCTTCTGACTCCAAGCCCGGATCCGTGGGAGGGTGGCCGAACCGGAGGAGCGGTTGACAGAGCTCCATTCTTGCTCCGGAGGATGAAGGGAGAGGCCGGTTACTCTCTCGTCCTTGTAGCATACTGGCTGCCTGTGATCACTGCTCTGGGCCTCAGTTTCCTCTCTCTGTGCCAAGGGCTTGATCCCGTGGAGTTGTCCACACCAGACACAAAACAATGCTGCTCATCTGGACCCCAGGCCAGGCCCTGGGCCCACTGCCACCGCTCTGGGCCTCGGGTCACAGATTACAGGGTGGGGCGGCTCTGGAGTAGGGCAGTTATGAGAGACTTCCTAGAGACCCAGAGAAGTCTAAGGGGAGGGGCCTTGGAGAGGTCCTTGTGCCCCCACCCCGCACTAAGCTGCTGAGGCTGCATTGTGCCAGGTGGGGTGTCCTCCCCACAACGAGGGCGGAGGGAGGTGCCGTTTTGGTTGAGTCAGGAATGTGGAAAGGGAGCCATGGGAAGATGCAGGGGAGAGGCTTCCAGGCAAAGGAAACAACAAGTGCAAAGGTCCAGACACTAGAATGAGGTCCGCGTCTTAAGAGACACAAGAATCCTGTAGCTGGAATGTAGTGAGAACTGGGGACAGTGATAGGAGATGCAGCCAGAGGGACAGGCAACTGGGGATTTGATTTTAGGGAAGCTTCTGGAAAGTTTGAAGCAGGGGGATGGCATGATCTGATTTATGGTTGAAAGATCCCTCTGGCTACGGCCGGAGGATGGATGTAGGGACCAGGGAGATCGAGAGAGGAGCTCGTGCTGCCAGTTGGTGTGAGAGGCTGCTTTCCAGAGCAGGGCAGGAGTTGTGAGAGGGCTGGCCAGGCTCAGGGGCCCGGATGAACCAGCCGCTGGCCAGTCTGCTGGGTGTGAGGGGAGAATAGGAACCCAGGATGGCTCCCAGGTTTGGGGCCTGAGCAGCTAGATGTTCCTGCCATTTCCGGAGGCTGTGAGGAGGTAGATCTGAGAGAGGCCTGACGTGGATGTCAAGTGTGAGGGCAGACGTGCCAGGACAGATGGGACGAGATAAAGGAGACAGATGGAGGCTGGGGGAGTTCGGGAGGGGTGGGAGTTGGGGTCAGAAGAGAGCGTTTCCATGGTGTTTACAGCCTGGGGACTGGAACTTGGGAAAAAAATAGAAAGGAGACAGCGAAGGAGCGGAGGCTTGTGCCTGCTGACATTTAAAGGCCCCAAAGGAGGCGGCCGGTGCGGTGGGGAGAAAACTTGGGCTGGGGGAGGTTTCAAAAGGAAGGGTTGGTCAGCGGAGTTCCTGGTTGGTGGAGGGGAAAGGTAAGGTGAAGACAGGGAGCCAACCCCCAGCTTTTGGGCTCTGGGGACTAGGAAAGGGCCATTTCCAGGGAATGAAGAACAAAGACCAACCAGGGTGGACTGAGAGAGAAAATGAGATGAGGTGGGGAGAAGTGACTGCATGTGATTTTGCTGGGGCCCAGACAAAAGGAGTCGGGAAACAGGTGTGCACAGGCAAAGAGGTGGAACCAAACACAGGCACCTCACAGGCACACACGCACAGTCACAGAAAGGAACAGAGGCTCAAAAAGGCATTCTCCCACACACGAGGTCAGACACACAGACACACACAGGGGCTGGCCAAGTGCCTTGTGACACGGGCCTCCCTTCACACACAGGGACCCAGTAACTCTATCTGTAAACACAGTCACACACCGGCAGTAGGTCCTCCTGGGCACAGCTGGACCCAGATTTCCTGGAATCCCCTCACCCTGTGACAGAGAGCAGTGGGGGTGAGGACTGGACATGGGGAAAGGGTCTTGGGACCAATGGCAGCTTTTTTTTTTTAAGGGATTTTTTAAAATTAATTATTTATTCATTTATTTTTGGCTGCGTTGGGTCTTCGTTGCTGTGCACGGGCTTTCTCTAGTTGCGGCGAGCAGGGGCTACTCTTCGTTGCGGTGTGCGGGCTTCTCACTGCGGTGGCTTCTCTTGTTGCAGAGCATGGGCTCTAGGTGCGTGGGCTTCAGTAGTCGTGGCGCACGGGCTTAGTTGCTCCGCAGCATGTAGGATCTTCCCGGACCAGGGATCTAACCCGTGTCCCCTGCATTGCAGACGGATTCTTAACCACCGCGCCACCAGGGTAGCCCCCAGTGGCAGCTTTTAGCAGTGTTCCCGCACTGGAAGGGGCATCCACACCGGCTGCACCATGGCTGGGACTGAGGCCTGTGGTCTAAGTTAAGGATGGCCGTGCCCCTGGAGGTTCTGGAAGGCTCTGTTTTCCAGCTCTTCCCCCACCCCACAATCAGGAAGGAAAGGAGGGGGCAGCCTAGGCGTGGAAGCGGCGTGTTCCCTGCAAGGGCTGGACTGGCCTCTCCCACGATGGGTATCAGGGCTCCCTGGGGAGGGCTGTGCCGGGCAGCGAGCCCGAATTGGGGTGGGGAGGGCAGCAGAGATGCAGGAGGGAGCCCTGGCCACCTTCCCCCACCTTCTGAAGTGACCTGGGTCTCGCAGAGCCAGACTGCCGACCCCCCCGAACCAGCCTTGGTGCTGCTTCCTCCTAAAGTTTGCTGGGGTGGCCTGGCCTTCTGGAGGTTGGGGGTCAGGGACTCTCAGAAGGGAAATCACAGTGGATTCCACACCCCACATCTTGGTGCAGCCCAGGTCTCCATCCCCCGCTCTCTCTGGCCACTGGTACCCTGGAGGTGAGGCCTGGCAGTCCAGCCAGGGGAAGGGGTTGGCTCTCAGAGAGCTGGGTTAATATTTGTTGACTGACTAACTGATTGACTAAGTTTGAATGCCCCAGCCCGACAAGTGCTGGGGCGTGTCCTGCTGGGCGGGAACAGGGATTCAGTTACAGTGTTGGGGAGGGCAATGGGCAGAGCCTGGCCCCGAGCCAGGCCCAGCACTGCCCACAGGCAGGGTGAAGGAACGAGCAGTTTCCAGCAGGTAGGCCGGGCAGGGAGGAGACTGGGGGGCCAGGGTGGGGAGGGCCGCCCCAAATGGGGTGTACCACATCGGGTCACTGGGCTCGGGGCTGCCGAGGGGCCGGCAGAACTGGGAAGGCAGCGAGCAGCCCAGCAGGTGAGGACACTGGTGGAGGCAGGGAGACTGCGACCAGAGCGATCCTCAGGGGCAGGAAAGTGTCAGATTTTCTATGGGGTGGGGGGCGTGTCTGTCTCCCAGAGTCCATACACCTGGGGCCGGGGCCCTGTCCCTCCCTCCCACTCCAGCAGGCAGTGCCTCCCACCCCCTTCCTGGAAGTCGGGCAAAGTGACCTCAGGGTCCGCCCCTTCGCAGGATCCTCAGGAGGCGGAAGTTACACACCTAGGGGAGAAAAAGGGGCACCAGAGGAGGGAGGAGGCTCTGGGTAGAGGGAGGGGCGGGGGGTGTGGAAGGAGGGGGCTCCGAGGGAGAGAAAGGGGCCCCTGGGTGGGAGGAGAACCCGGGGAAGGGAAAAGGAGGCCAGGGGAGAGAGAGTGCTTTGGGGAAGGAAAGGGGTGTGAGAGGGCAGCTCCAGGGGAAAGAATGGGGCATCTGGAGGAGGAAGGGAGCACAGAAAGGGTGGAGGGGCAGTCAGGAGAGAAGGGGGCACTGGGGAGAGGGAGGATGCATGGGGGGAGGAAAAGAGCACCCAGAAAAGGAGGGGGCACCGGGACAGAAGGGCACGTCAGAGGAGGAACTGGACATCTGGGAGAGGAAGGGGGCCATGGCTGGAGGGAGTGAGCCCCCAGGGAAGAGAAGGGAGCTTCCAGTAGGAGGAGAGGATACCTGGTAGAGGGTCCCCACTCGGGGTGGGTGATGGAAGGGGAAGAGGGGACACCCTCGGGTGGGAAAGCCTGGTGGGTCAGAAGGGGCACTCTGGGGAGGGCAGGGGCCTCCTGAGGGAGAAGGGACTGCCTGGAGGAAAGAAGAGGGTGCTGGGGAGATAGGGCCCCCACCCTTTGAGCATCCCTTCTCCATCCCCCCAGAATCCAGTTGGAAGACAGGTTACATGGGATGAGGCCTCAGGCCCTGGGAGCCTGAGAGTTTGGCTCTGCAGGCTGGCACTGGATATGCGGGCCCCCTCCAAGCTCCCTGGGGATGATGCTGTCCCCACCCCGTGCAACCAGCCCAGTCCCAACTTCCTGGCCGCAGTCTGACTTCCCTGCCCCACAGGGAGCCCTGGTGACCCCTGTGCTGAGCCAACCAATCTTCCTGTCACTCTCACTATTTCACAGTTACAGCTCCTAGTCTGTACCTCTGGTCACTGCCTGCCTGTGCCCTGGTGGTTGTCACTAATCACTGCTTCTGCCCGTCACCGCCGAATGTCACTACCCCTGTCACTTGATGTCACCACGTGTTTCCTGTTGATTGAAACCACCGTTACATGGTCACCGTGTCTGCCTGTCACTCATGTCACTGTCACAGCAACAGGCCATCACTGCGACAGCAGTTCTGGGGGCAGTTAGAGCACGTGGTGACTCCCTTCTCTGTCCGCTTTCACTCCTGCAGTCATGGGCTGAGAACCTGCCAGGTGTCAGGCAGCAGGAGCCGGCAGTAAACCAGGAGGACAAGCCCCTGGCCCCAGAATCCAATGCTCTAGTGAGGGAGGCCAGGCCGTCAGCACACAGGGTCTCCAGTACAGGTTCGGGGGGCGGCTCTAGCCCCGGCAGGAACCCCCTCTGCCCGCCCTGTTCTGGGCAGCTCCCTCTTCCACCCCACCTCACCCCACATCCATGGCCATCTTGGCCCTCTTTGAGAGGGCTGGGTGTTTCCCACTGTGAGCTCACCAGGGCCTGGGCCCAGCCTGGACAAAGACGTAAGGAAGCTGGGCCACTCGGTGCCACCTGTCACGCTCTGCCTCTGATTCTGTAACTCTGTATCTCCCCTCCCACTTCATTTCCCCTGATCATGCAGGGTCAAGGTTGTTCCTCCTGCTGATATAGCACGGCTAGAGTGGAGTGGAGAGGGGAGGGGAGAGGAGTGAACACCACGCCAGGGCCACTAGGAGTGAGAAATTCAGAAAGAAGGGACTTCTGGGTCTATTGGGCAAAGCAGCAGCAAGAAGGAGAAGTTGCAGCTGGCAGGATTTAGTTTACACGTCGAAAGAATTTCCACGGATGAAGGAATGACCAAACCTCATGCAGAGGTTTCTGAAGGAGGGATGCAGGGAAGCCCGGGGTCGTTGAGAGTCACCTGCCGACATGAAACAAAATCCAGAGCCCCCTTCTTCCCCAGATCCCTCTCATTCCACGCTTCTCTCTCCTGTGCACACTCAGAACCACAGAGCACGGCAAAGTTTCTGTTTGCAGAGCCAGTGGCTGTTTGCAGTCTGTGTGTATTAAGCATTCAGCTGTGTTTCAAGAATTTGAGAATGTTTTGGTCTGATCTATGCAAACTGCTCATGTCAGCTAAGCCTGTCACTTGCTGCAGAGTCTGTCATCTTCAGAGACAGTCCGTGTGTGCAGAGTCTGTCCTGGGTTTGCAGAACATGTGTCTGATCTGCAGAGCTTCTTTCTGTCCTGAGCCTGTTTTGAGAGTGTCTTTTTTCAGAACCTGGGTCTTTTTAAACAGTCTGTCCCTCTTTCTTCATGGATAAGATATGCTTTTATTGCAGAAGCGGCCCTGAACGCAAGCCTATCCCTGTCTCTGGAGCTTGTCCCGCGGCCTTGGCTGGGACATCTCTTTCTGCCTAAAGACACCGTCCCTGTCTATAAAGCATTGTCTGTTTACAGTTCCTGGCCCTGTCAGCAGAACCTGTTTCCTCTGCAGGGAGTATCTCTGTCTCTAGACTCTGTCCCTATTCATAGAGTCTTTTCCTATTTCAGAGCCTATTCTGTCTGCAGAACCTGAGCCCTCTTTGTACAGTCTGTGACATTTTTCAGGGCCTTTGCCTATTTGCACAGCTTGTCTCAACTTCCTGGATAGAAATTCTCGTCTGCTTGCAGGCTCTACTCCTACGAAGAGTTTTTCACCTGCCATGGGTCACTGTGTCTGGGAGCACCCCTGTCTTTCGACAGAGCACATCCCTGTTGGCAGAGCCCATGCCTGTCTGCACAGTCTACTCCTAATTCCATGTGTACTTGTTAACAGAACCTGTCCCTATTCATGGAGCCTTTATCTCTCTCTAGAACTCATCCTTTTCTAAAGCCTGTCCCTGTTTGCCGAACCTGGGCTCTCTACAGAACCCAGCCCCGTTTTAAGATCTTGCCCATGTCTGGGGCATCTGTGCTGGAACATGGAGCTGATTTCCTGGCCGGCTCCTTTCAGCACATCCTGCCCTCTCTGAAGACACTGTCACTGTTAACAGAGGCTGTCTGTTTGCAGAGCCTGTGTGGGCTTACAAAACCTACCCCAATCTGCCAAGTCTCTGTCTATACAGGCTTTGTCTGCAGAGCCTGTGTCTTTTTGCAGAGCCCGGATTGCTCTGCAGAGCTCACGATTGCTTGCCCAGGCTGTTCCGATCTCCTTGTTTGCAGGATTTGAGGTTGTTTCCCAAGGCTGTCCCTGCATGCAGAGCCTGACCATGCCTAGAGAGCTTTTGCCTGTTTCAGAGCCTGCCTCTGTCTGGCAAGCACTTCTCTTACTGGTGATGCTGTGTCTCTTTGCAGAGCCTTGCCTATCTACGTGCCTGTTCATATCTGCAGAGCCTGTCTCTTCTGCAAAGAGTCCCTGTCTTAAGGGTTTGTCCCCATCCACATTTGCAAAGCCTTTCCCAATTCTGCAAAACCCCTCCACACCTGCAGAACCTGGGACTGTCTGTAGAGCCTTTCTCAGTGTTCATAAACTTTACCTGTTTGCCCAGCTTGTCTGAATTTCCCTGGGTCCAGTCTGTGTCTCTTCACGTAGGTCATCCTTACAAAGGTGGTCCCTGTCAACAGAACTCATCTTTGTCAGGAGAACCTGTGCCTGTTGCATCCCCTTCCTGGGTCTGAGGAAGCTGTCCCTTTTCTCTGCAGGTGCTGTGTCTCTTTGCATGGTTATCTCCTAACTGTCTGAAAGACCTACGCCTATTTGCCTTGCGTGCAGAGCCTGTCTTGTCTACAGGATTCTGTCTCACTTCAAGAGCCTGCCCCTGTTTGCAGAGTCTGTCCCTGCCTACAGCACCTGTTGTGACTAGCAGAGCCCTCGCCTGGCTGTAAGCCTATCACTGTCTACAGTGACTGTCCCTGGCTGCAGATCCTGTGTCTGTATGCATAGCCTGTTTCAAACGCCCTGTCTGTTTGCAGAGGTTGTCCATAGACTCAAAGCCTATCATTGTCCACAGAGCTCAGCCCTGTTTCAAGTACACAAGCACAGACGACAAGGCAGGTCCCTGTTTGCAAAGCCTCTGTGCCGACGTCTGCAGTACCCTGGTGTCCTGGTGTGCTGGCCCTTTTGTTTACGCAGCCCTCCTCATGAGAGGCACAGGCTATGATGAAGGGTCTTTGGAGAGCTGTGCGTGGGGAGAGCTCTTGCTTAGAGCCCAGAGTACAGGCGGCCAGGGCCTGAGGACTCTGGCTACTGTTCCCTCCCTCACTCTTTCCTGATCTAGGATGGACACCAACAGGGGCCTCCCAGCCATCGAGAGCCACAGGGACCTCCACATATGGATCACTGAGGTGAGCTGCACGACCAGACAGAAGAGCTGGTGATAAAGACAGTGTGCAGGTCTCTGAGACCAGTCTTCTCCCGCCCCCCACTCAGAGCTCCCTCCCCCTACGCCAAAGGGTCACGGCTGGGGGGAACAGGGTCTCCCAAGTTGTCACTAGGCACCCTCCTCTCCCAGAACCTGAAGATGGTGCCGGTCCCCGAGCGGGCTTATGGGAACTTCTTTGAGGAGCACTGCTATATCGTCCTGCACGTGAGCACTTCAGGGGGGTGGGGGGGTGGGGTGGCTGGCCCTTTGGGGGTTCCATGGTGCAGACTAAGCCCCGCCCTGGGAAAAGGCAGGCTGGGAGCCCAAGAATCGCATCCCATACGGAGGCTGCTGCCTTTGAGGCCTCTTCACCCTTCCCTCGCCGGTCTCCGTCTCCTGTCGGTGGAAGCACCTGACCAGTCTTCCCACAGCCCTTCGTACATCCTCCACCTCGATCTCCCCTCTCCGCCTCAGCCCTCGGGCCCCACCCCACTCCTGGGACCTCAGCCCCTCACCACACACACGGACGCAAACACCTGGGCCCTAGGTCCCCCAGAGCCTGAAGGCCACGTCGGGGGCACCCAAAGACCTGCACTACTGGGTCGGGAAGGAGGCGGGTGTGGAGACGCAGGGTACGGCGGGCTCCTTCGTGCAGCACCTGCAGGAGGCGCTGGGTGGCGCCACCGTTCAGCACCGTGAGGCGCAGGGCCACGAATCCGCCTGCTTTCGCAGCTACTTCCGCCCTGGAATCATGTGAGTGACGCGGGCAGGGGGCTGGGAGGGACAGGAGCCGTGGGGTGGCTGGCGGCCTGGGGCAACTGTCTCCCTCATCATAGTGTGTGGGGTGGTTTTTTTGAGGGGGGCGGGTAACAACTTATTGACATACAAATCATACCATACAACCCACCCGTTTAAAGCATACAATTCAGTGATTTTTTAGTGTATTCACAGACTTGTGGGATCCATCGCCGTAATTTTAGAACGTTTTCAACACCCCCAGAAGAAGCCCCGTACCCTTTAGCATCACTCCCCATTTCCCCCAATACTCCCTTGCCCCAGTCTGTATAGATTTCCCTCTTCTGGACATTTTACTTAAATAGAATTATACAACACCATTGATGGATATACCACATTTTATTTATGTATTCATCACTTAATGGACATTTGGGTTGTTTCCACTTTTTAGCTGTTATGGGTAATACTGTTGTTAACATTTGTATACAAGTTTTGGGTAGTTTTTCCCCCCAGTTTTATTGAGATATAACTGACACACAGCACTGTATAAGTTTAAGGTGTACAGCATAATGGTTTGACTTACATATATTGTGAGATGATTACTGCAGTAAGTTTACTCACCATCCAGTATTGTATACAAGTTTTTGTGTGGACATATGTTTCTCATTTCTCTTGGGTGTATACCCAGGAGTGGATCCCAGTGCTGTTCTTCAGTTTGCTTTTCTGTTACTATGCCCAATAGAAATATGTCTTTTGCTGTAAATTGCTTCAAATATTTATTTAATTAACAATTACAATATATTAGGTCGAACCATAGGAAATTGCCAGTATTTGATCATTTCTGTTGAACCTGATACATGTAAATAGTATATACATAAATGCACGCACACATGTATACATGCGCGTGCAGAAAACACGCCACCCCATGTACGTCCACCTGCAGATGGACACCCACATACATTGGTGAGTATTCATGTCCACCTACACACATATACGCGGTTGCGTGAATTCCATGCACGCACATCTGTACGCACACGGATAAACAGATACACGTTATTCCCCACGTGCATACATGTATATACACATTCATGTGTCCACGTATCTACACATGGATAAACACATGCACATTACTGCCCCCATATGCTTGTACACACGTGTTCATATCTACTTGCACACACGTACTAAACAGGCACACGTGTCCCCGCATGCGTGCATGCAGGCGCGCACATCTGCACTCACCCCTGCGCATGGCAGCATATGGTCTCACATGGGACCCCATGCTCTCCTCAGCTACCGGAAGGGAGGCCTGGCCTCTGCCCTCAAGCACGTGGAGACCAACGTGTACAACATCCAGCGACTGCTGCACATCAGAGCGGGGAAGCACGTGTCAGCCAGCGAGGTGAGAGCTGCCAGGGATGCCACCTGACCATGGACTCAGCTGGACTGCGTGTCCTGAAGTGTAGGGAAGTGTGGAGGGCGGTGGGGACATTGGGGGGAATGTGGGAGGTCAGCATTCCCCGATGGCCCATCCTGATGAGGAGAGAGAAGGCAGAGCCAGGCTTCCAGCCCCACCCGTCCCACAGCTCCTTTGACCCTCTGTTTCCTCATCTGTCCCATGGACACACTGAGAACTAGGGAGGTGAGGCAGACAAGATGATGCACCTGGATGGCTCTGCTAAGCAGCACAATGGGAAGTAGCATGATTTAGGGAGGTGCGCAGCCCCACATTCTCATACACGTCATAATTGTCACCCATAGGCACACCCAGTGTCTCCACGGTTAGCCCTAATGCCACTCGGTCCATAGAGTGCCCTTGTGCAAATTAGACCTGAGCACCCCTTACTTCCATCTGTCAGGATATTGATGGAAAATACTGATCTTGTGAGAACAAGACGGTTTGCTGCCATCAGTGTAATGAACAGTCAGGAGTTTGACGCCTGCGATGTGAATGGTGACACTGAGTTGTGTACGTTGCTGTCTGCATGGTATGTGGCAGCTCTGTGACTCACAGACAATCCCACCCAGGCTCACACAGTGTCACCCACAGATTTAGTGATCATACATCCCTGGTCATGCAGCGCCACCAGGCAGCCCCAGGTTTTGCCTGTTAGCCTGGCATAATTATTCAGAGCTCCCACTTTTACTCTCCAACGCATTGGGATGATACTTGCCCTTTTCCACAGATAACACACTGTCCCCCACACAGGTACACATGCACTGTCAGCCAGGAGCTCATACACTTCTTCACATTTGATGTTCACCTACACACACATCTACACATGTGGATAAATTGGTACTTGCGCCCCACTTGCATCCATGTGTCTGTGTACGCATGTACTGCTGTAGACTTGCACTGAGTGAGAAGTGTCAGACTCGGTCACGGACACCCTGTGAAATGCAGCATAACCTACGTTTACACATGCCCAGAGATGCACCCAGCCACATCCACAGTGACGCTCAAGGTCTCACATGCTTACATGGATGCATGCCTGCACACCATCAGAGTGGTGTCACACTCACACATACACCCAGTTGCACGCAGCTTCATGCACATAAGTGACACACCTGAGCTATGCACACGTGGGCAAGGACAGGCTGCAGTGCCTTTCCACCTGGGTGCGGGTGGTATGACACACTGTCTCCCTCCCTGACGCCTGGCTCTGGCAGGTGGAGCTCTCCTGGCACAGCTTTAATAAGAGTGACATCTTCCTGCTAGACCTGGGCAAGATGATGATCCAGTGGAATGGGCCCAAAACCAGCACTGCTGAGAAGGCGCGGGTCAGTGTCTGCCCCGGGAACTAAGGGGTGCAGTGCTCGGGGAGAGGGGTGGTCCTCCAGGTGCCCATCCTCCAGCTACCCCAAGACGTGGGCTTCTCTCTCGCCTAAGAAGCTGAGAAGCACCTACAAACTGAGTCCAGATCCTGAACTGGTGGTACCCCTGGATGCCAGGATAAGGGGATACCTCCCCTGGCCCCCAGCCTCTGGGAGCTGAGCAGTGACAGGAGGATTCTGGGCTGGACTGTCTGAGAGGTGATGGGGGGCATTCTGGGGATGCTCTGACTGCCAGGTCCTGTCCCGCAGGGCCTGGCCCTGACCCGCAGCCTCCAGGAGAGGGAGCGTGGTGGCCGTGCACAGATTGGTGTGGTGGATGATGAGGCTGAAGCCGCTGACCTCATGCAGATCATGGAAGCTGTGCTGGGCTGCAGAGTGGGCAACCTGCATACCGCCATGCCCAGCAAGAGTACTGACCAACTGCAAAAGGCCAACGTCCGCCTCTACCAGTGAGCAGACCTTGGGAGTGGGCAGGGTGGGTGGAATAGCCCAGGCGTGCATGTCCGGCATTACTGCAATAACACGGTGTCTCTAGGAAGCCCTCTAGAAAAGGTTCATGGGTTTCTGGGGCAGGCCATGTGGGACCTTAGGCCCAGCCTGTGCTCTTGCATGGCTGCCTTTCTGAGAACGCATTGTACAGACAGGGCAACTGAGACCCTGAGAGGGCCAGGGAGCTGCCTAAGTCTTCACAGCAAGGCTGCAGTGAAGACCTCAACCTGGGCCCCCAGCCCCCAAGCCTTCTGCCTCTGGAGGTGCGAGGGGCAGTGGTAGCTGGAGTGCAGCCAGGCCCGGGAGGAGCTGAGCTGCCCACATCTGGATGCCTGTCCCCTAGTGTCTACGAGAAGGGCAAGGATGTGGTGATCCAGGAGTTGTCGACCTGCCCTCTGGCCCAAGACCTACTGCAGAAGGAGGTGAGGCAAGCCTGGCCCCAGCCATCCCGTCCATCTCCCCACCCGCTCTACAAGCCCAACCCAGTCTGGACCACCTACTGACCAGCCCCACTTTGGCTCCCAGGACTGCTACATCCTGGACCAGGGTGGTTTCAAGATCTGCGTGTGGCAGGGACGCATGACTAGCCTCCAGGAGAAAAAGGCTGCCTTCAGCAGGGCTCTGGTGAGGCTATGGGGCCCTGGCTTAGAGGGACATAGAGCTGCCCTGGTTCCTGGGTAGGGAGGAAACCGCCTTACCCTGCAACCTAAGCTGGGAGACATCCATGTCCTGGGGTCTAAAGAGGGAGGTAATCCTGCCCTGGGGCCAGGAGGGGGATACATCCTGCCCTGGGAGCCCTGTCGGATGGAGGAGGACATAACCCTGCCCTGGGGTCTAAGCCTGAACACCCACCGCCCTGTCTGAGGGCGGAGACACAGCTCTGCCCAACGGTCCGAGGGGGAACACAGGGCCCCGCTCTGGGGTACCGCGGGCTGTGGCCTGCCTTGGGGGCCCTGACGGGGGAGGACCAGATAGCTTCCAAGAAACCATGTGTAAAAGGGGGATGTGGGGGACCCGCCTTGAGGTCTGAGGATTCTCCAAGCACTGGGTGCTCCCTCCTTTTCCAGGAGGGGAGGCAGGGCTCTGCCTGGGGTCTGACGGGTGGTCATAGCTGGCCCTTCCGGAGGCCCGGACTAACGGGACCCTGCCTGTCCTCAGGGACTTCAGAGAAGTCGGTAGTGCCGGAGCCAGCTCCTTAAGCCAGTCATGAGCTCAGTTAATTAACGCTGCTCAGTGCACTGGCTCGCCCCGAAGCGTGAGCGGCAGGTCCTGCGGGTGGAGCGGAGCAGTGGGCCCTTGGGCCACACGCTTGACAGAGCCCCCCCGCCCAGGGCTTCATCCAGGCCAAGGGCTACCCGAGCTACACCAATGTGGAGGTGGTGGACGAAGGCGCCGAGTCGGCCGCGTTCAAGCAGCTCTTCCGATCGTGGTCTGGGGAGCAGCGCAAGAACAAGCACCTCCGCGGAATGGGTGAGGGGGCGTGGCCGGACGGCGGAGCGGAGCGCCGAGCCGAGGCTTCCTGAGCGATGGGCGGGGCGGGGCTGGAGGGGCGGGTCCTGGGCGGGGCCCAGAATCTCCACGGGAAGGTTGAGGGGGCGTGGCCGGAGGGAGCTTCTTGCGTGATTGGCTGGGCGAGGCGAAGTCTGGGACAGGGCAGACATCGCCAGTGACACCCTCTGTCCCACCCTCAGGTAAATTACTTCAGGTGAAACTGGACGTGGGCAAGCTGCACAGCCATCCTGAGCTGGCGGCCCAGCTCAGGATGGTGGACGACGGCTCTGGGAAGGTGGAGGTGAGGGGCACTGACTTCGCTGGGGGAAGATGGGCGCACAGGTGTAGGCTTTGTCTTCAGGTGAACCTTATGGCTGCTAAAGTGACCCAGGTACGCCCAGGTGCACATCTACACACAATCAGGGACACACGGGGCATGTGTACGTATACACGCACCCTCCGCCCTGCCAGCTCATATGCATCACGCGTACAGTCCCATGCAGCCACGGCCACTTGCTCGGTAACACTCAGGGCACCCAGAACAGTAACATTCGGACAATTAATTGTGCCCTTTTGTCATATGTATGACACATACATATTATAGACACACATACTCATACCTTGTGATTGCACTTATTCAAACAATTGAAAACATGTAAGCATACAAACTCTGCATCACACATGATCACAGCCCCACACGCCCAACACAAAGTCACACCCTGTCAGCCACCCCTCTGGTCTCAGACCAATGTTCTGGGAGATGGCAGGGGTTGGGGGCTCCTTCCAGGCTCTGTACAGGGCAGGGTTGTATCTTGACTAATTGGGTCACCCCCAGGCAGGGCCCTTAATTCCTTCAGGGCTTAGTTTTTTATATGTAAAATGGGGCTAAAGCTGTGGTCCCACCTGGCCCCGAGGCTGGTGTGCGGGTGCTGAGAGCGTATGGGAACAGGACAGCTGGGCCTGTGTGAGGCGCACTAGTTCTCAAGGTAGGCCGAGGTCTGAGAAAGTACTGTTTCTCCAAGGTGCCCTCTGACATTTGCCTTACTATGGATGGACAGTGGCAGTGAGTGGGGAGAGACTGAGATAGGAGAAGACGGGGCGGAGGGGGAGGAGGGAGAGAGGATGACAGGTTGAGGGGACAGGGAGAGACAAAGAAGAGGAGACTGAGAATGAGAGAGAGAGGGCGGAGGAGACCGAATAGAGGGAGGAGGGGATGGGATGCAGAGCAGGGAGGGGTGAGGGCACAGGGAGAGGAGAAAGGGGGTCAGGGAGAGATGGGGTACCCAGGGAAAGACAGAGGGGCAACCAGCGAGAGAGACAAAAGGAGAAACAGGAAAGCGGAGAGAAGGGCAAGGGAGGAAGGAAGGAGGGGTCTGCAGCCCAGGCCCCAAGCACAAAGCCAGGGAGGGGACGTCCCCCGCCCCCCCACAGCAGGCTCGGGGACAGGCAGCCAGAGGGGGCCCCGAGCCAGGAAGCCTGGCTGCCAGGTGAGTGCTGCTCCTGGAGGCGAGTGGTTGCAGTCAGCCTCTTCTGCAGAAGCAGGATTCCCGGTGCTCTGGTCTTTTCCAGAGACTGCTGTCAGGCTCTGTGTGGCCACGGGATGCCCAGATGTTGTTTCTTGCCATGTCGAGGTGAGCGCTGTTACCCCCACTTCACAGGTGGGAAAAACTGAAGCTCAGAAAGGTCTCACTGCCGCTGTGGGTGACCGGGATTCAACCAGGGTTTGCCTGGCTCCAGGGCCCATGCTCGGCTACCCACAGGAACAGGATATCACATTAAGTGTGACTAAGTGTTTCCCTTTCAGTCTTTGAACAGGGTTTGCTTTTTTTAAATGACACTTGAAAAAAAGGAAATTCTTCCAAGAGCCCCAAGGCCTTGCTTCTGCCCAGCTTCTGCTGCCCTGGCTGAGCAGAGAGGGCCCAACAGCCAGGGCTGTGGCTGGTGAGGTCAGTCTGGGGTGGCACGTGGCAGCCTGGGCAGCCTCTGGAGTGCTCACCGCTTGTTTGTCCCAGGCACCACACACCAACTCAGAGTCCTGGCTGAGAACAGGCTGGCCCAGGTGTGGGTCCCAGGGGTCCCTGGGGGAAGCACAGAGTGTAGGGTGGGCACAGAGCTCGGGGGGAGCCCCTTGTCTGCACAGATGAGGCGTGCCCCCCGCTGCAGAGAGCTTCCTGGCTGGACACACGGTGGGTGGGCTAGTTCAGGTGGAGGCACCAGCCCTGCCTGTTGGGCCCCTGTTCCTCAGGTGTGGTACATCCAGGGCTCACGCAGGCAGCCCGTGGACCCCATGCATCACGGACAGTTGTGCGCAGGCAACTGCTACCTTGTCCTCTACACATACCAGAAGATGGGCCTCGACCAGTACATCCTGTACCTGTGGCAGGTGCGCCAGCCTGAGCAGGGTGGCGGGCACCCTCAAGGCCCAGAGCTCAGGAGCTGAGAGTGGGGTCTGGGAGCCGTGCCAGGCCCTCACCACCCCTGCCCACAGGGCCTCCAGGCTACCGCACACGAGATCAAGGCCCTGAAGGGCAACGCCGAGGAGCTGGACCTCCAGTACCACGGAGCGCTGGTGCAGGAGCACGTGACCATGGGCAGTGAGCCCCCTCACTTCCTCGCCATCTTCCAGGGCCAGCTGGTGATCTTCCAGGTGGGGCCCGCCTTGCTGCTGTGGCCGCAGTCTCTCCACCCCTCCGTGCACCCATGGCCCTTACACGCATGTGCTAAGCACCTTCTCTGCAGGCCAGGGGCCCAGCGGTAGCCCCTTGGCTTCCTGGTGCTTGTCCAAGGCCCAGGAGCTCCAAGGGTGACCCCTGCCTGAGTTTCTTCCCCCATCCCCAGAGGCAGCCACAGAACAGGCGCACAAGTGCGGAAGCGGAACGGAAAGGGAGCTGGGGCCTTACCTGGGGTCACACACAGGCAAAGCTGCTCCCCACTTTCCGTCTTCAAGGCCTGTGGGATCCATGCTCTGACCCCTCGGAGATGGGGTGAGGGGTCTGTTTAGAAAGGGCCTGGTTCCCTATTCTAGACCGATGGCATCCTCACATTCCACACTCAGAGGGTAGAAAACAGAGCTGGCTTCAGGAGAGGGGGCCCTGGGTGCCGAGGCAGTTTGGCTCCCACTGGGAGAGGGAGGCGGCCCCAAGAGCCCTTGCCGCAGCCTGAGGCCCAGCCCTCTCGTAGGGGAGCGCTGGGCACAACGGGAAGGGGCAGCCAGAGTCCGCCACAAGGCTCTTCCACGTACGAGGCACCGACAGCTACAACACCTGGACCCTGGAGGTGCCAGCCCGGGCCTCAGCCCTCAACTCCAACGATATCTTCCTGCTGGCCACAGCCAGCCTCTGCTACCTCTGGTTTGGGAAGGTACCCCAGCAATGACTACTTGACTTACGCCTGGGGCAGCGGTGCCAGGCCAGGGAAGGGTCTACTCCGCAGCGGAGGCTGACTTTAAGTCCAGCCTCAGGCCAGAGGGAGGTGGGGGAGAGGCCACAGTGTCCCTTCTGGGACCTGGGGGAAGTTATGGGTGGACCTGGGCATCCACGGGTCAGAGCCAGGCCAGGCCCAGGCTGCCTGCCCTCCTTCCTGCCTCGTGCCGGGACCACGTCCCTTCCCAAGTCTCTTGGGAAAAGGAGGCCTAGTTCAGATTGCCAGGGTTTTCTCTGATCTTCAGCATAAACCGTGAATGATCTCCAAGCCTGGAGGTCCCCATCCTGTGCTCTGGACCTGGAGAGGGTTCAGGTCCCTGTGACCTTGATCAGCTGAGGAGACAGAGGGAGGAGGGGGAGGAAGGGAGACACTTTGTCATGTGTGCCCCGCCACGAGCCCAGGGCTCCTTGTGACTCAGGCGCGGCTCCACACAGGCTCCTGTTAGCAGGGGATGTGGCGCAGGAGGTGAAGGCCCCTCCCTGTGCAGGGCGTGACCCAGCTCTTTGCCTGCCAGGGCTGCAGCGGTGACCAGCGTGAGATGGCACGGACAGTGGTCACCGTCATCTCCAGGAAGGACAAGGAAATGGTGCTGGAGGGTCAGGAGCCTCCCCACTTCTGGGAGGCCCTGGGGGGCCGGGCACCCTACCCCAGCAGCAAGAGGTGACAAGGCTGGGACGAGGGTGCTCTCCTGACCCAGAGGAGGGAACTGAGGCCCAAGGGGGTGGGTGACTGATTAAGGGTCACACAGGGAGGTGGAGAGGCCAGACTGGAGCTGAGAACTCGTGGTTCCCCAGCCCAGGGGCTCCTAGGAGCACAGCCCACCCTTCCCTCCTCCCTAACTTGGAGCACGAAGGTGCCGGGGACAGCAGGGTGGTCGCACCCTCTGCTGGCAGAATGTGCTCCCTGCACGGTCCCTGTACTGGACCGTCCTATCGGCAGAGGGCCAGAGGGCAAAGTGCATTCCCCCACCCCACAATCCCCACGGGTGGTGTCCCCGGTGTAATATGACATATGGGTAAACAGCGTGTGTGGAGTGTGCAAGAATAGTGTGTGTGGGGTGCGTAAATGGATAAGGGTGTGTATGGGAAGGAAGGGCAGAGTGAGGCTTCAAAGGGAACTGGGAGCGGAGAACCTACCGCTCTTTATGTCTGTGCGGCCCAGCTATGCGCTGTGCTCCCCCCAAGTCTCCTGAGCTCCTAAGTGCTGCTGTCGCCCTCTCTCAGCCTGGCTTCCGTCCTCCCACCTTGGGCCTGAGGCCGGGGGCCAGCGGCTCCTCCCTCCCAGGGCGGCAGGGCTCCAGCTCGGCCCTCCCTCCGCACTCAGCCAGCCACCCCCTCCTTCCCCGTGCTCCTTCCCCGAGAAATTCATGGGGCAGCTTGCACCCCGGTTGCCTGTGGGGAGACAGACTACCTAACCTGCTTTCCCCACTGACACGAGGACACAGAGGCCCAGAGAAGGGCAGGCATTTGGGAGTGGATCCTGGGATGGGTGGAACTCAGAGGGGAGCGGGTGCCTCCTGCTCCAGGAGGCATTGTGTCCCGGCCCCTGGGGGGCGGTAGAGGGGTGCTGTGCTGGGGGCTGGCTTGGCCCAGGCTGGTCAGAAGCCCAGCTCTCTCTGCGCCCCTCATGGCCTTGTGCCATGCTGGCCAGGCTCCCCGAGGATGTGTCCGACTTCCAGCCACGACTGTTTGAGTGCTCCATCCAGACGGGCCCCCTGGTCCTCACGGAAGTGGTGTTCTTTAGCCAAGAGGACCTGGACAAGTATGACGTCATGTTACTGGACACCTGGGAGGAGGTACGGCAGCCTGGGTGCCTGGCTGGGTTGTGAATGGGGGGTGTCTGCACCTGCATAACTGGGTGTGAGTGTGTGTGACTTTGTGTTTCTGGCCACATGACTGCATATAAGGCTGCGGGTGAGTGCGTGACTATCTACGACACTGTAACACTGAGTGACTGGGCAATTGTGTGACTGTGGATAAGACACCAGGGACGACTCTGTGACCCAGGGAGCCTGGGGGAGACTGTGGCTGTGTGTCTGGGACTCATGTGTGGTCGTGACCGGTTGTGTAGTTGGGTGTAACTCCGTGTGCCTTATAAGGGCGTGTGTGAGTCCATGCAACTGAGTGCCCATGGCTGACATGTCAGTGCTGAGTGGGTGGCCATAAAGTGACCGTGTGTGTGTGTGCGTGTGTGTGTGCACGCATGTGCGTGATGCCTCTGTGTGACTGCATTTGATCGCTAGTTTATTTATTTCCTCTCTGGTCTTTATTATTTCCTTCCTTCTGCTGACTTTAGGTTTTGTTTGTTCTTTTTCTAATCCTTTTAGATGGTAGGTTAGGTTGCTTATTTTGAGATTTTTCTTGTTTTTTTGAGGAAGGCCTGTATCGCTATGAACTTCCCTCTTAGGACTGCTTTGGCTGCATCCCATAAATTTTGTCTGGTTGTGTTTTCATTGTCATTTGTCTGTCTGTGTGCCTGAATTTGCCTGTGTGTGTGCAGCTGTGTGTAATGGCTGTGTGGTCAAGGAACTGGCTATAAGTGACCAGACCATCTATAACTGGTGACACTGTGAGAGAGAGACAATGTAACTGGCTGCAGGTGTGAGTGCCTGAGTGACTGAATTCGTATGACTGTGTAATCATGTTTCTGTGTGGCTGGATGTGATGGTGTTTCAGGCTACTTGTGTTTTCAGGCTGTGTGATCCATCGTAACTGTGCTTAGATGCAACTATGCATGAGTACGGGTGACAGTGTATGGCTGTGATTTGCCATCTGGCTGAGTGGTGGTGGACAGTTGTGTCTGTGTATCTGTGGTCGTGTGTGTGTATCTGCATCATTGTGCCTGGGACTCTGTGTGACTGTGGCAAGGAGGCCTTTGGGCTCGCATCCCACTCAGAGCGCAGCCAAAGCCCCTCCCCCAGCCCTGTGACAGGTGGCCCCGACTCTCCCCCTCGCTCACTCTGCTCCAGCCACCATGGCTTCCTGGCCGCTCCCTGAACATGCCAGCGTGCTCAGGGCCTTTGTACTGGTTGTTTCCTCTGCTCAGAACACTTTCCCCCCAGACATACATGTGACTTGCTCCCCCACCTCCCTCAGAGCTTGACTCCAGTGTCATCTTCTCAGTAAGGCTCTCCCTGACTCTAATTTAAAATGACAGTATCCACCCCACCACCACCCCACTTCTCTTCTTTCCCTGCTTTATTTTTCTCCATCTGATATGCTACATATTTTACTTATTTTTGTGTCTCCCCCAGCAAAATGAAAGCTCTACAAGAGCAGGGATTTTGTCTCTTTCTTTCTCATGGTTGAGTCCCCCGTGCCTAGAACATTACCTGGCACACAGTCGGTGCTCAGTAAATATGTGTGGATTGACTGCACACATGCATGCCTGAGACTTCCTGGCACATTTACGGGTGTGTGGGGGTGCAGCCAGCCTGCTGGGTGGGTCTGGTTGGCTGGGATGTGTGCATCGGGTTCTGAGACCACCTGATGGGCAGGGCTGGGAGGGAAGTGGTCAGCTCCACCCGCCCAAGGCCAGGCCCCCTCTGTGGCCCAGATTTTCCTGTGGCTGGGGGCAGCTGCGAGCGAGTGGAAGCAGGAGGCCGTGGCCTGGGGCCAGGAGTACCTGAAGACGCACCCAGCAGGGAGGAGCCTGGCCACGCCTATCGTGCTGGTCAAGCAGGGCCACGAGCCTCCCACCTTCACTGGATGGTTCCACACCTGGGACCCCTACAAATGGACGGTGAGTGAAGCCTGAACCCCCCATCCCCACCCTAATCCTGGGAGACGGGCCTGCCCTGGCAGATGGTGGGGGAGCCATTGCCCTGTCCAGGGACCTCCAGTGTGTGTGGGGAATCTGGTCCCATTGGTGCCCCTCCATCCGGCCCCCCCCCCAGAACAATCAGTCTTATGAGGAGGTGGTGGAGGGCGGCCTGGGAGCAGTATCTGCCATCTCAGAGAGAACAGCAGTGAGTACTGGGGCCTCCCAGGGGCCTGGGCTCGGCTGGCATGGCCCAAGGGCAAGAGGAGCAGGGAAGGAGCCAGGCCCCGGTAGAGGGCAGGGGTGGCAGTTGGGGGCAGGAGGGCGGGTGGGCTCAGTGTGGCCTCCCATGGGAGCCCATCCCCCAGCTTCCCCAGCCTGAGTCCCCTCTCCTGACAGCAGGTCAGCAGCTTCCGGCTGTCCAGATCGCCACGCAATGGCAGGGCAGGCCCGTTGGCCCTGTGGGCCCTCAAGGGCTCCAAGGACAGCTCCGAGAACGAGCTGGAGCGGGGCCCCAAGGCGGGCAGCGGCCCCAGATCCGTGGCCAGCAGGAGCCTGCCCCGGGAACAGCTGAGGCACCAGGCTGTTGAGGACCTGCCGGAGGGTGTGGACCCGGCCCACAAGGAGGTGGATGCCTGAGACCCCCGCCCCGCCACTCACTGCCCCAGCACTAATGCATATAAAGCTGAGGTGCCGGCGCCCAGGGCGTGACCCACTGACGGTGGGCAATGGGCAGGCTGCCCGGGGAGATGTGTGTTCCAGATAGGGTGATGGGCAGAGAGATGTGGGAGAGGATGACACCTCTGGGCGAGTGGGACAGGGTTCTGGGCTCCGCTGATACCCTTCCTCTGCACCCACTCCCTCCTCTCCCGCACCCCAGTCCTATCTCTCAGACTCTGATTTCCAAGATATCTTTGGGAAGTCCAAGGAGGAGTTCTACAGCATGGCCAAGTGGAGGCAGCAGCAGCAGAAGAAGCAGCTTGGCTTCTTCTGAACCCCGGCCCTGCCGGCTCCATCTACGTGGCCAAGACGCCTGCCTGCGGGCACCTCCCCTACACATATACGAGCCCCCTGGGGAGGCCCTCCTGGCGCACCCTGCTTGGAGACTCCCGGGTCACTAAAATAAAAGCCTGTGGCCTTCACAAGATGTGGTGAGTGGGCTTTCAGGTCTGGGTCACGCAGCAGGTCCGCCTCTGGGAGAGTGGGCCTCTGGGGTTGGAGGGGTCGGCCGTGGCATTCCAAAGACTGAGCCCTCCATACCCTCCGCCATTCAGGGGTTTGTTTCTTGCTGGTCCCTCCTTCCCGGGGGACAGATGTCCCCCCTTGCTCCAGTGTGAGGGTGGAGAAGTGGAGAGTGAGGTGCTGGGGCTCCAGTGCTCTGGGGCATGCACACACGCACGCATGCCTTACAGGGATTTTTCCAGTGTCCAGGTAAAGAGACCACAGTACTTAGTCTTATGATTTTTATAAAAACCCTCAACCTAGGGCCCGGCTGGAGGATGGAGCGGGCTGCAGTGTCATTCCTAACGGAATTGAGGACAGCTCCAGGGACTGGGCCAGCTCCTGGGCTCCCGAGAGGCAGCAACACAGACAGTAGGTTGGAGCTGAGGGCAGCGCGGGGCTGCCAGCTCTGAGCGAGAGGTTGGGAGCAGCCCCTGTCCTGCCCCCCAGATGTGGACAGAGGGCCTGGTCCGCTCGGGGCAGCCCTCACCAGACTCCCCGAGCCTAGTCCTGGAGGCCCACTTTCACAAAGAGGGTGGCAGACGGGTGCTGGTCTCCGTTCTTGGACAGGAGGTGAATGTGGCGGTATCCTGGCAGGCGGAGGGGCGGGGAGGGGCGCACAGCGGAAGTTCTGGTCACTTAGGGAGGATGCTTTGAGGAATAGCCGGCCCCTTCCCAAGAGATGCCTCCCCGCGAGTCGTCCCCTCCCTCCACAAACACTCACCCTGCTTGAGGCTGTTCAAGGGGATGGTGCTCTGGCCAATGAAGTCATTCTTGGAGGAGGCATCGTAGTCCTCCACCACAAAGCGCACGAGGGCGAGCTCAGGCACAATCACCTCGAACTCAAACTCTGTGTCCCACCATGGGTTGAAACCTAGGGGTGCAGGCACCATGTCAACAGCATGGACACAAGCTCCAGAAGCCGGGCCCAGCCCAGGCCCAGCACGTACCGTTATTGGTGACCACAGCGGTCTGGTGGCTGGCCACGTCCTGGCCCACGCCATGGATCTCCACGGTCACCTTGGGGTCCACAATTGAATTCTTATTCTTGTTGACTTTTGGCAGCTGCTGCCCTGAGATGACCTGAGGAATGGCGGGAGACAGTTAAGGGTTCAGGATGGTAGCCAGGGGGAAGGGAGGCCCATGGCATCTGTCCCTCCGGTGGCTGGCCATACCCTGACATTGAGCCGCTTCCGAGCCCACCAGGGCCCCTGAGCCAGGGCACGGGAGTTGAAGGTGGAGTTGGGGTCTCGCAGGAAGGCAGGCTTCAGCACGTACCCACAGGCCCCATTGTCCTGGAATCGGCCCTGGTATACGTCCATCTCTGGCCCAGGTGTCTGGAAGTTCAAGGCCACTACAGGCAGGACAGAGCAGTCACAGGCTGTGGGCTGGCCTCAGGGGCCCCATAGCCCAGCCTGCTTGGGGTACACTGAGGCCCAGAGTCACATGGTGAGGCAGAAGCAGGGTCCAGGATCACTCAATGCCTACTGCCCTCCTGCCACCCTAACTGACCCACCACACCAACCTTGCATTCCATTTCTGGTGCCAGAATTCAAAGGACAAGTGTGCTAACAATGGGATTTCTGACGCTGTATTTGCTGGTGGGGGATATTTCCAGACTGAGATTACCAGCTCCTGAGCCCACAAATCCCTGCATCTGGCTCTGCCTGGGTCCCCAGAGGCTCCTGACCCGTGGCCCTCCAGGCGGAAACCCTCACCCAGGCCTCCTCCAAGCCCCAGCCAGCCCGTACCGATCTGGCAGCCCCCATTCCACATCTCCACAGGGCTGTAGTTGGAGGAATCCGTTCTCCACCCGGCGGGGTAGATCCTGCTCAGGTGACTCACATTGTGGCGGACAAAGCTGTTTCCTGAGGGGGGTGTGGGCGCATTAGAAGCGGAGGCCTCCTGGTGAGTCCAAGCCCCTCCCTACCAGCTCTGTCTGGTAACAGCGTGGGGTGCCAGCTCTGGGTGACGTCCGGAGGGGTGGGAGCCAGTCCTGACCCTGGCCAGCTCAGGTGGTCAGACAGATGGACAGCACCCTGGGGGGACAGGGCCGGGCTCACCTGATTCTTGAAGCAGTCGGAGGGCACGGTTCTCGGAGAAGGATGCCATCTCATAGAAAGCCTGCCCACGGGTGCCAGGACTGGGGAAGCCCAGAAAGTGGACGCTCTTGCAGTAAATGACCATATCTGAGAGCTCCTTTGCTAGTCTGAGCTTGTCCTCCTGGGGGCCATGGGGAGGCCCAAGTCAGATTCAGAGGTTGGGGCAGGTGGGCACTGAGAGAGCCAGAAACCCAGATACAGAGAGAACAGAGAGGGAGACAGAGAGAGGGGGCAGAGGGTCTGAGTGACAGCCACAGAGAACCCGGACAAGACAAATACCCCACAGTGTGACGGAGGGGGATGGTGGGGTAGGGCCCCCCTCCCCTCCTCGCTCCATAGCCCCCGCTCAAACCGTGGACTTGTGCTGCACTTGGTTCCTCACTGCCTCATCCTCCATCTCAGCAGCCTCATCCTCGTCTGACACCACAGTGGCCTCAGGGCTGCCTTCCCCTCCAGGGAGGAAAAGCCCCCCAAGCTTCTTCCCCTTCAGCAAGATCTTCCCCTTCAGTTGCTAAGGGTGGAGGGGCAGCTGGTCAAGACGCAGCGGGCCTCCCGGCCAGTCCCCTGCCCTCTCCTCTGGGCACCCCACCCCATCGGGCACCTCAGGGGAAGGCAGGCTGCTGGTGACCCCGTCCAGTGGCCGATCCAACAGCATGGGGCCCAGGAGGGTGTGCAGGTGTTGCGCCATCACACGCTGCTGCTCCAGGCTGCAGTGGTTCTCCAGGGACAGGATGACGGGGTAGGGGGACACCTGGAGGCCCAAGGGCGGATTAGGAGGGGTGGGTGGGCCCGAGCATCCCCTTCCTCAGGCCCAGAAGCGCGCCCACCTTGAAGGCGTAGTCCCGGATGACCCTGAGCACGTCGCAGAAGAGGATCTTGGAGGTGAAGGTGTAGCCGTGATAGATGACCGGTTCCTGGTTGGGTCCATCCCAGCAGTCGAGCTCCAGGCAGCGGCAGCCTTTGCACAGCGCCCTGCGAGTGGGACGGCGGCTAGGCCCCTCGGTCCCGGCCGGGCCCCGCCCAGGTCCCGCCTGCCTGCCCAGGTCCCGCTCAGCCCGGCCCCGCCCCGCCCCGCCCCGCCCCATCAAGACCAGGTCCCGCCCGGCCCCGCCCCATCATGCCCAGGTCTCCCGGCCCCACCGGATGTAGGCTTCGGTGCTGCTGGGCCCCGTGAGCTGGTCTTCCAGCAGGTAGGTGTTGTGAGAGGACGACACCAGGTAGTGACTGAGCGGCTGGCCCATGTCCTGGTAGACCCGCCGGTGCACCCGGTTGAAGGCGCTGCCGTCGGCCGAGAGCAGGTACATGAGGAAGCCGTCCTTGGTCATCTGCCGCCGCGCCTTGGCTGGGAGGCGGGAGGCCGGCGCCCGTCAGAGCCCTAGGCTGGCGCCGCCGCTCTGGGGTGAGGGGCCCCCCCACTCCCCCTCCCCGCACTCACCTCCCCCCTACTCTTCCTGCCTCCCGTCCTGAGCTGGTCCTCGGTACCTCTTGGAAGCGGCTAAGCTCGAGTCTCTTGAGCAGACCGTGACTATCCCAGGGTGGGGCCCTGTCTCCTCCTCTGTCCCCCATGCTGTGAGGCCCCCCCTGAGGGCAGGGCCTCATCTCCTCCTTCTCCAGGACTGGGCCCCATCTGATGTCTTAAAGCTTTGTGGCCAGCGTGGGCACAAAGAGGGAGGCAGGAAAAGTGCCTGCTTTTCCAGCCTTCTCTCTCTCCGTTTCCTGGGGGAGGAGTCCTCAAATCCCCTGAAGGAGGAACCAAGAGAGGGTCCCTGCCTCCCATCTGCTTTCCTGGGGCAGAGAAATACTGACCAGGGGCTCTGGGCCTGGCTGAGGTGCCCCCTTCCCGCCAGCTCCCTACTCTTGGGCTGCCGTCTCCCCAGGGGTCTCCCCACCCTGTGTGGCCCTGGGACTACAGGTCATAGGCCCTCACCCATCTCGCTGGGCTCGTAGCGCTCAATGAGGGAGAGGGCCAGTGCAGGCCCCGCCGCCTCCTCCCGCTGTTGGTGCTGCAAGAAGACCACTAACTGATCCACCGACAGGGTCTCCCCCGAGCCCGCAGCCTCCTTGAAGGTGAGGTCGATCTCCTTCCTCTGGGTCAATATCTTGTAGAAGGTCTCGATCTCCTCATCCTCCAGGGAGTTTGTCTGAGAGTGGTCACATTCCTGCAGAGCCAGGACGCCAGGTGGGCAGGGTTCAGAGCAGGTCTCGGGCTGCAGTCAAGGACACACTGCCAGGCAGACCCAGCCCTCACATCCTGCCTCACCCTGAAGATCTTTCGGGCATAGCTGTCGTCCACCTGGATGTTGAGCTCCTTCAGGAAGTTCTGCAGCTCCTTGAAGTTCATCTTGTTGTCCTTGTTTTTGTCAGCTTTTCGCAAGCAGGAATGAATCCAGCTGGGCAAGAAGTAAGGAAAGAATCCAGAAGCCCTGGGACCCCCGAGGTCCCAGCCACAGCCATGATTCAAGCTCAGGGTCAACTCCCGGGCCCAGGTGGACTGAGGTCCCCTGTAGACACAGCTCCCCACAGGCCTGACTTTTGGCATATCCTCATTTCAGAGGGAAGACCTGGTGGCCTCTTTGGAGGAAATGTGACATCCAGTGAAGGAGTCTTTTTCCTGTTTTCTGGCTTTGAACCCTTTCAAAATTTCAAAAACATTTCTTTTCTCACTCTAAAAGGGTTCATTACAGACAATTTAGAAAATGCAGAAAAGTAAATAAACAAAGCCCCCATAATCCTATCACCCAGGGGTAACTACTGTTAACATTTCAAGGTATGTCCCTTTCAGTATATAATTGTTACCCAATTGTAGATATCGTATATATCTATATAGCATAT